CCCACCATAAGCGCCTACGCAATTCACGCTCTGGTTCGGGCATTGATGAGGGAGGATCTAGATGAAGCCCGGTAGTATAGGCAGCTCGAGTTGCACTACCGCAGGCATCGGCTGACATGTTTTGAAATGATCCATTGCACAAGTAGATAGCACTGAGTAGGAAGCACTGCACGGTTGATACTGTTGGGCTTTCCAGATAGTAATTTAACATCATCTGGGCCCGTCGGAAATACCATCGACCTGCAATGCTGGGGTCGCCGTCAGCGATGGATTTTTGTTTCTCTGGCACCAAGCGGGATACTCCGTATTGCATGGACAAAGCGATGACAATGTCCACGAGCGCGCATGGTGTCCTTGAATCTCCGGAATTGTTCCATAGAGAGCGATAGTGATCCATAAAGTTGGTTTCATTGATTGCTGGGAATAGAGATGTGTGATAGGATTTCCAGAATAACTCAAGAAAGTATTCTTCCTGTGTTGGACTCAGAAATTCCCCTCTGGGTAATGGGGAGTCGCCTGAAAGAGCGGGGTGTGTCGAGTCTTCCGGAGTGTTGATGGTGTCAAAACCAAGCAACGTATTTGCATTTTCATGAAGAACCATTTCTTTGGTCGACCCAGACTGTCTCTGGTGAAGACTCGAGTCTATGTAGCTATTCATACGCCCGATGAAGTAAAAGAGCGATGACGGCCCATACCATGACACGTTTGGAGAGCGGGCGGTGCCAATCTCGATCCCTTCCCATGGCTTCTGAGCCATAAGGTCACTTTCACCTGACCTTTTCTCAGATTGAGGCTCTGGCGGGGAAGTATTCGTGCGGCTAGACACATATGGAGAGCCACCTGAAGAGGCTTGCTCGATTGGACTCCAAGATGAGCTCAAGGTGGAACTTGCTTGATACTGGGTTTTATACCAGTCCAGCTCATTTTCTAGATCTCTGACACGTACCTTGAGTGTCTCAGATTCTCTATATCAGTGTTTAGGGTTTACTCATAAATCCACAAATAGCTATTCAGGTATCTTCATACCTTAACGCCTGGGGTAATGTCTTCATTTCATCCACGCCTGTCTGGGTACATGGCTCATCTCTTTGAATACATGATCTACATGGTCGCTGATTATCGCATTTGGATCTTCTAGCACGACACCAGTCGCAAGCCCGAGAGACTTGCTTTCGAAGGGGTTTCACTCCGGCACCTGTACCGGCTGAGGCCGGCTTGTTTCGCATTGAAGAGGTATTCATGATAAATCCAGACCCTGCCCAAATGAACGGTAGCCATTAGGCAGCCGAGTCACACATGAATGGCCTTGGTGGCCTGGAATTGTGCAAACACGAAGGGAGTGAGAGTGAGTTTTGCCCCGAAAGATCGAGAGGGGAGTTGGGGATTGTGGGGCCGAATTTTCCTCTTATGCCTGATTGGTGAGATGTCAGCTGACCCTTTTATACTATGTAGATTGTTCAGGTCTTCTTCTTCTTTCTTTCTACAAGGTTCCTCTGTTTGGTAAAAAGTATTCTTACGTCGTTCACGGTGCTGTTACCCTTACACAGCCTGGATGACCTAATAGAGTGCAATTGAACTTGCCTACCTAACGTGAGTAACCTCCAATGGATGTAATGGAGTAAACTACCTACGCATCCACACAATTTGAAATTTGATACTGATCCAATGTTGGTTCTGTGATGAATGTATGTACTGAAAAAAATTGATCCCTGGCAATTCCAAGGGTTAGACCAAGTTGTTATTCTTTCAAATGCAAGACTGCGGTACAATGCTGTTTTAAAATGATTTCGTATCCAAGTGTCACTGGCTCTTTGGGCAAGTCGTTGCCCTGACCAAAATGCTTCCATACTGTCAAATTATGTGCACTCAGTCATAGGGTGGACGGTGTTTGGGTGTGTCTTCAAAAATTCTGGGCTGAACGGATAATCATTGTAGCCCTCCCACTGCTTGCGGAGGTAAAATGTTGCGCGATTATAGTGGGCAAGGGGAATGCCGTGTTGAATCCTGAAAACCAGGTCCGGATTGGAAATGAAATAGCGACCAAAGGCAACCATCACATCCCAATTCTTGTAATGCGTCTCCACTGCTCGAGCAGCAGATTCAGGCTTGTAGCCACCTGCCACCATGACAGGCGAGTAATTGTCCCAGACATCAAGGATAAAGTCCAGCGTCTTCCCAACATTGATCGCCTTTTCGTCTCGAATCAAAGCCCCGGGGTCACCAGTTGCTTCGACCAGAGACAAGTAGGCGAACTTGACGTTCATCTTTTTGAGCTCGGTGATGAGGTGAGTGTACAGCTCAACGGAATCTGTCTTCTCGGAGCCTTGGAATCCGGCGTAAGGGGAAAAGCGGATGGCTACCTTCTCTGCACCGATCGCCTTGACAACGGTCTTTACAACTTCAAGTGTCAATCTCGATCGGTTCTCGATGGATCCGCCCCACTTATCCGTGCGCTGGTTCACACTAGATGTGAGGAACTGGTCGAGCAGATAACCGTGAGCAGAGTGGATCTCAATTCCATCTGCACCAGCAGCGATGGCACGCTCAGAAGTCTCCACGAAGTTTTGAATGGTCTTCAATATCTCATCTTCAGTCAGAGCATCCGGGGTAACATCAACACCCTTCATGGGCACCGCACTGCTAGATCTGTACGGGAAACCGCGCCCAGCGAGATGCTCCGGATCAGATGCTCTTCCCATACCCCATATTTGCTGGAAATAGAAAGAGCCATTGGCGTGAACTGCATCAATGATCTTGCTCCAGCCTTTAACTTGGGCATCACTCACAAAGCCCGGGTTGTTGGCCTGGCCTTCCTCAACATGTGAAATCCCTGTTGCTTCGGAGATAACAAGGGTTCCGGGGACAGAGCCACGATCCGCATAATATTTCTCCATCAAAGCAAGGGGGGTATGGTCATCATCATTGCGGAGCCTGGTCAAGGGAGGAAAGGCGATTCGGTTCTGTAGTGTGACGTTACCGACCCTCAGCGGCTTGTAGAGCCGGGTTTCGGAGGGAATGTATTCGGACACAACGTGTGGGCTCATTCTGATTCAATATCTAAAGATCGTTGGTGATATAGGAGTCTTGGAATGACAGGAAGCCAGCCAAGTCTATTGTTAGGCCGGTAGCTCAACGGGTGTTTTCAGTAACTTGGAAACATGCTGGAAGTTATGAATAATTAGCGTCGGGCCGAATCCCACCAAAAAAAAAAGAAAATGTCTCCGAAAAGTTATTAATCGCATCGTAAAATGGGAGGGGAGCCTGGAGTTTCGGAGCAGGAGGAGCGTGGCTCACAGGCACAACTCCACCTCTCCACCTCTCCACCTCTCCGACACTCCGACACTCCGACACTCCGCGACTCCGGAACTCCGTCTTTACGTCTCCAAGTTTCAAGCATTCACATTCTTCACTGACCCATGAGCCTGGAACGCTAGCGCTGACCATCTAGTGCTTATTGGTATCTTAACTCCGTCTATTCCAGATTGTGACCACTAGGCTTCCGTAGGTGCATGGTTGCAAGCGGACCTCCGGAGACCATACTGACCTTTCGCTCTTCAGCTCTTGTAGAGTCTCGTATAAATAGATGAACAATTCTCTAGCAAATATTCCTCACCACAACAGCACCCCCTAAAGCATTCGAAACATCAGCCTCGAAAACAAAAAGACAATCTTCTTCTATCTCTACCCCCCGGCCTTCAGAGTGACTTTCTCCAGCTTCAATACTTCATCAAACCACTCAACCAACTCAACCAAAATGCCTGCCCGTAAAGCCCTAATCTCCATCACCTCTGCCAGTGCCACTCTCTTCGATGGCAAAGAGACCACCGGCCTTTTCATTGTCGAAGCCCTGCACCCTTACAAGGCCCTCACCGCGGCAGGCTTCGAAGTCGACCTCGCCTCTGAATCAGGCAGCTATACTGCTGACTGGCTCTCCCAGCAGCCCGACTTCCTGAACGGCGAGGATCTTGAGATCTGGAATAACCTCGATAGCGAGTTTCGCAAGAAGCTCGATAATATGCCCAGGGCCTCCGAGCTCGACGGATCCAAGTATGGCTTGTTCTTCGCGTCCGCTGGCCATGCTTCTCTGATCGACTACCCCACTGCCAGTGCCTTGCAGAACATTGCGGAGCAAGTCTGGGCTAACGGTGGCATTGTTGCATCTGTCTGCCATGGCCCTGCGATCTTTACCAACCTGCTGGACCGGACCACTGGAAAGCCTCTGATCCAGGGAAAGAAAATTACTGGCTTCACCACTGAGGCAGAGAATACCATGGGAATCATGGCTGAGCTGAGGGGATTTGGATCCGAGATGGTGGAGGAGCTTGCTGAGCGCCTTGGTGCTAAGTGTTAGTCACTATCAATTCCCAAAATCAACGCCTTGTACTAACATTATTTATAGATGAACGATCTGCTGGAATCTGGGACGACTTCCATGTCGTTGATAATCGACTAATCACTGGTCAGAACCCTGCCAGCTCTACCTCTACTGCCAAGGCTGCTATTGAAGTATTCGAGAAGCTCTAGGTACCGTGGAGCGAATACAAAGTTCTCACCAGGTACAGCAAAGGTGGATGGTTGACCGTTTCTTGCTTTTTAATCTGATTATTCTCTTGGCCTTTAATAGCTCTTTTTAGATCTACCTCAAATAGAAGATGCATGCTTTGTTCTTTATATTATTCTTTTGTCAAGACCCTTAGCTAAAGTCTAGCCCGACTCTTACCAGTATAGCCACTAGCAATCTCCAGCCAATCCCTAGCTCGGACTTTTCACAGAGAGCCCGTACCACCCCCTCACCCATTTTCCCTTCATTATCCCCGAATATAGTAAAAAAGAAAGAACATAGCTTCTCTAGAAGGACGTACTTGCTAGCACGAACAGCGCGCACAGCCCACTCGAAATATAAAGTATTAGGCAAAGGAATCAAGACTATATCGATCTTAGGATCTTCGAGAATTTCTACTTACTGTGAGTCGCAGTTCTCTAGTTTAGAGATTTGAGTCTTAGGCACCGTTATAGGATGAGCGAACATCGGGGATGTTGTGCTTTTTGGCGAATGCCGAGGCACGAGCATGATCTCTAGCAGCGACTACTTGCACAATAACCTCGGGATATGAGAGGGCAGGTGTGATAAAGGAAAGAGGTCTAAGATGAAAGGTCAGCGTGATTTTCAAGGTCCAATCATTTGAATGCTCACGCAATCTGGGCCGCGCCCCCAGGATGCCAAACCGGATCGCAGCGTTCTTTTCGACTTTCGGAGGGACGAATGCCGTACACACTCTCATAACTATTGCTGCCATCTTAATTCTCTTGCTCCTCTTTTTTCTTGTAAGCTCAGATAGACAAACACGTGGATTTAATGACCAAGGTGAGAAGGGCCGTTACACCATCGGGGTAAAGCTTAGACCGGCTGACCAGAGTATATAGGAAAGGGGACCAGGGTCATGTCAAGTTTTGGAGTAACCTCTCGCTCGAAATAGTCGGACCAGTTCGAGTTTGTCAATCTACTGTCATTGATGGATTGCGACGCGAGTAAATAAAATGGAGATTCTCGAGATAATGTGGTTGGCATTAGACACGGTAAATGGCCAACTAAACCCAAGTAGTATTCGATACACCTAGTCTTGTTCTTCTTTTTCTTCTAGCTGTTCCTCTAAATGAACCTCTACTTTCTTAATTAATTAGTTAGAACTCTTCAGGGCTCTTATCTTAATCAGTTTCCGAAAGAATCTCCTACTTGTTTCCCCCACACTTAAGACCTTCAACCGTTAGGCTCCCTACCCCATGGAATAATAGAGAGACATCATCACCCACTAAAGAGGATAGATGAACAGCTTGTTTTCCAAATCCGTCAGATCCAGCATCGCCAGATCCACCCTCCTCCTTACCACTACCCCGGACTCATCTACTTGTTCAATGCATCCCTCTCGGTCACCATCGCTCAATCCAGCAATCCAACCTCTTCTCTTCTTGTTCCTTCTTGCAAGGATAAAATGGATGATCCCAAGGATAGCTGGTGTTCCCACCCAGCTAACGAAAATCATTGAAATCCACGCATCATAATACCTCGGCGCCGCGCTCTGAACCCAAATTTGTGGGGAGACCAAGTTTCCAACACTGTAGCCGACCATGAACATTGCATTCCGTGTTAGCCTCTTGGTATACCCGGCTGCTGAAGAAGTTGTCCACCCGAGCGCAATAATATATGTGATACCGTATGTGTTTTCCGCGATGAGCATGCAGACTAACAGCGGCAGCTTCCGGCTCCAATCGATGAATATTATGCCTACACCCCCTGCCAGTGCAAAAAGACACCAAGCCAGGCTATGTAGAGCGAGATATTTGGGAAACCACTTTAATGCAAAATGGGCGACGATGCAGAGCGCAACGCCGAAACCGCCACCTGCTGCGGAGACCAGGGTGGAACCTAGGTCTGACACCCCAAGAGAAGTAGTCAAGAGGTTTTGCTGGCCATAGTTGAGGTTGTTGGCGTACATCAACGTGAATGCCTGTAGGGCAAATAGCCAAGACACGGGGTCTCGAAGGCATTCAATGAATTGGGACATTTTGAATTGTTTCTGCTCGATAGAGCTCTGGTGGGACGCGTGTACACGATGGATGACGTGGACCTTTTCTTCAAGAGAAAGGAACTGTGCTTCAGCGGGATTGTTGGGATAGCAGAACCAGGTCCATATTGATAGTAGGATGGTCAGTCCTCCATTGACGATCATGAAGAGTTTCCATGGGAGGATATTGCTGTGACTGAATAGTAACCCATAGGAAACAAAACCGGCAGGAATTGGAGCACCAAGACAGGTGATGAAAAAGATGGGCTGCAGAAATGACTGTTCCTCACGATTGAAAAACATGTTCAGAGTGATTTCTATCGCAGGGACAACCACTGCCTCCACCGCACCAAGAGCGAGACGAAGAACTACTAGCCCCCCGTATTTGGTGGCAACACAATGGAGGAATATGACGACCCCCCAGAGGAATAGCGTGCCACTTAAAAATCGCCCAAGTGGAAGCCGTTGCATAAGATAATTACCAGGCCATTGGCCCACGAGGTAGCCTAAAAATATCAAGAACGTCAATTACGGTGTCTCAAAAGTGACAGATTGAACAGTACAGGGAAAAGGTATTATACCAACATAGAATAGAGTGTTGAGAGTATTGTACTGTGACTTTGAGATACCCGTCTCTTCGAACAGCCCAAGAATTGCAGCATAGCCAAGGGTTGATTTGTCGACCTGAAACGATCAGAGAAAGAGGGTTGGATTGCAATCAAGAGCAGTACTCACAAATAGAACGAGGTTGATGATCGATACCAAAACCACGATATGTAGGTATAACTTCCGTTTGAGTTTCTTCTCTTTTTCCAGCGTCAAGGGTTCGAACTCGTTACCATGGTCTTTGATGATTCGTAAAGTCACGTCGGCATAGTTTTCTTTGATTATTTTATCAGGATAGGTGGCTGGAGGCTGGTTTTCATCACTCATGCTGTTCCGATATGGGGATTTGAACACTTAGGATGGTGACACTGATTTTGGATCCCATAATATACCATAGAAATAACGTCACTATTTGGAGAATCACATCTTTTATCCGTGTAATTCCATTGGATGTAGGGTAACCGAATCTACAATAAATAATAAATATATTTTAGCGCCATAGCCATGGGAAGTCAATGAGGGTCAAGCTTTTAGAATCGTGCGAACCTTACACTTGGCCCGTGTTATCTTTTAGATCGGGGACATTCCAGCCTGAATTCGTGCCCGAAGCCGGTCGGGATTGGACTGTGGGTCTTCGACATTTGGTCCGAGCCTGAACTCATTTAAATTGAGCGTAGATCGACTGCTTCTATTGTTGCTGGCTCTATATGGGCTGATCCCGTTTGAATGGTATCAGATAAAATACACGAGGGCTAAAGCCTCACGCTTTTCCATTATCCCGACATGCCCAGGTGGCTATAATGGTTACGTGCAGTATTCAAATCATACCTTATAATACTTGCAAAACACGGAGTCCTTTTTCGCCAAACTACTTCCAGAGCTGATTGAATGCACTCAATTTCACGCCCATGACCAGGCCGATTCCGTAAACTATCAAGCACAATCCCAAGCGCGGGACTAACAGATAACGGCCCAGCAAGCAGCATATCATCTCCCAAAAGGTATTCCACGGATTGGCAGACTTGATGTGCCACAGATAGATACCCTCCACAGGATAGATACCCTCCACAGCGATCAGGACCCTCAAATTCCAAACCGAACCTTGACCGGACTCAACTACGCGGCACGAGTTCTCGGGGGTGATACTTTCCAAGTGTTGGTACATGTTGGAAATACCCGACTAAAGCATCGTTCGCGTTGCCCACAGGAGCACCAGTGTAGCAGCGCTCTGGGCGTCTCGAAAACAGAAAACGACAGGGAACAAATCCGAAAACAGAGGTGTTTGCGACGGCACCTGCCAGTATAGGTCCTGTGATTGCATTTCATCATAGGTAACATCCAGCTGTTTATTAATTCGCCAGCATTCGCGAATCAACCGTTGGAGTAAATCGACCTGCTGGAATTTAGGTAGATGAGGTAATGATCGTATACGTTCTAGAATCATAGGGGCTTGGGCGAGGCAATCTGTTACCTGATCGTGAGACGTTTTCGGTATTACTGCCCAAGGTTGCTCCATCCAAGTGGACTCGAAGAAAATAGTTGAGGTATGGTGATTCAAAGAGAACAAAATCTAAAAAGGTGATCACTAAATAAACCAAGCTCCCGGGTTTTGGGGGCTTGACCTACCCCTGGGAGTCAAACACCAAGGAATAATTGATGTCCCAGGCCTGAAGAATGCATCTCATGACCGCGGGATTGAATCAAAGCGATGATACCACGACAATGATTGAAATAGCCTTCGGATCCCTGATTGGGGCATTCGAGGGCCTCGTACAGACTGAGTGCCATGCACGCGGTCAGGGTTCCATCTTCTCGCACGAGGTTGAGGTCGTATAATGCTTTTTGGAGGTGTTGAAGGCCCTGGATATAGCAGTTCAAGCCTTGCTTGACTAGAGCTTGATTATCAAGCATGTGTCCCATCGCCGACGCTGCGACTGCTGCGCTTGACATTTCCAGCGCTTGAATTTTGGTAGGTAACTCCGCAAGCAGAAAAATCCAGGATTGGAATGTTGGGGGCCAATGCAATGGGAAACAGTTTGACAGGAAGGTCTGAATCAAGTTTTGGCATTCTATGCGTATATGCATTATCTTATAGGCAAAGCTTGTCTCGGTAAAAGAAAGGGTGCATTCATTACCCCGAACCACAGTGGCTGGACTGAAAATAGCGGACTCCAACTCTGTACTTTTGGTAAGGCTTTGTGGAGAAGCAGAGGGCCTGAGAAAGATATGTGTTTTCTCAGCGGCTGGTTGAACCAACACGAATACCGTGTCTTTCTGGTACCCGCCACATACTCGGTTTGAGCTTATGCATTTGGCACAGAACGGCCTTTACTGGTCACACTAACTAAGTCAGTGGAGCCATTATATATGGATCTAGTGTCGCTCACTGCAATCTTGCTTTTCCGACAGGTGTTGCAGCCTTTTGACTTGCCAGCTACTCCAACCATCTCATAAGCTGGTCAAGCCCTATATGGTGTTGCGTTACCAACTCGGTGATTTAAATATATTGAATAAGGATTAAGATACCAATATAGCTTTGAGTGAGTTTTGCTCGGATTAGTGAGTGGTTCGTTGAGGCTTTGGAGGGGATCTGCCTTGGTGGATCCACTATCAACCAATCAGATGTCGATCCCTCAATAGTTACCGACGCCAAACCCAAAAAGGTACTGAACTTGCGAGAGCATCTATGGACATGAATTTCAGCACAGCCGGCGCTTAAGGAGAATCAACAAAACATATCTATAAAAGGCACTGGTATTTCCACCTAAATTACTCGTCTTTATCCATTACTTCTTAACAAGCAGCTCAGACGAACCATCCCGGAATTCCTATTTGAAATCAACATGTTGGGCAATCAACAGTCCCATAGTCAGGAATGGGGTAATTGGACCTCTCAAATCACTCCACCTCAAGTCGGATGGCTGGAATACGAACAGAAAGAGGTATACGATGCGAACGACTATAAAAGGTGTAGCCAGAGCTGTGGCGTTGAGAATCTAAAAATAGTATGTTAGCCCTTGAAGAAAAAAGAAAGTAGACGTATCGAGGTCTGCAAACCGTCCTGCTTGTAACCGAAAGACACGAGCGCTGTGTCCAGAAATAGACTTGCATGGCTAGTAAACACCCGACAAAGACCACCACGATTATGTATCCCGCTTTGACGAGTTTAAACCCAATGAGCACATCATTGTCGGTGTCGCTCCCTTCCAGAGCCCCACCTGCGATGGTAAGGCCGATCCCGACAATAAAAAGCACTCGGGATACAACTAAACATTGCCGAATTTGTGGGCTCATGTTTTGTATGAGAGCCACTCTGCGGTGTGTGTTAGGAGATTGATCCATAATCAATATTAGCATGACGCCAACTCACATGATTTGAATAAAGCCCAAAGTTGCTGCGATCAAAGGAAACACGCCAGCATTGAAAAATATGACGGAAGCTATCATCACACCAGTACTAGAAGACTTCTCCGAGATAATGACCAAGATTCCAGCAGTGGTACGAACTGAAAACAAATGGTGTTAGATACATGCCCTAAAGAAGATCTTTGCAAGGTACTGACTGATGGAGAAGAAAGTCAGGATAATCCACGCCATGTGAGGTCGCTTGTGCCGGTAACATGCGAGATAAAGGGCAGTGACCGTTACCGGTGTATAGAACACAATCTGTGCTATACTTAATTTTGAATGATGGAATATTCCGTTGTTTTGGTCTGTCTTATTACCGGTTTTATTATTCCCAGTTGGAGGAATATCGAGAAGCCAGGGATCCTCCTGGATGATGCAACAAGATGACAGAGGATATAGCTCTGAGCTATGATAATCTGTGAATGTCCCCCCCATGAAATAGAGCTCAATATGAATTTTTACGTCTATCGTTGTAATATTTCTTGGGCTTGCTTCAAAAGTCAAAGTAGATGTCATACATAAATTGTTTCAGCGCGTATGTCAACTGGCGCTACAGTCACTCCTGAGACACTCTCAATCAAAGGTTCAATGCCAATACTAGCTTCGTGCAATTGTAGAGGATCAATATCTGGTATGAATATGTCTTTTGTTTAGGGAATCTTGATACCATGATCTGATGATAACCGAACAAAGGTTGCAGAAACTCCAACCAGGCCACATTCTTGGGCATTCAACTTCATTCCCTGGTATCGCCAAGCTTTCGACAACAGCTCTGGCGAGTATGAGGGTATGAGGGGACAATCGTTCAAGTCAATATAAGTAGTCACAGGCCCTCTGCCAGCTCTACCACTGGACCCGTAAATTGCTTCTTTCCTCCCAGGAGATAATAATAAACCCCTCCGATTATCATCCATCCCATTGTCACCACGATACAATAATTCATATTTTCTGGTGTCACCGGCTCGACGGTCGGGAAAGTGCTAAAAACCATGCCCATGAGGAGCCAAAGGATGGCAGCGATATTCACGACAGGTCCCCATCGTGGGCCTAGGTTGAATGATCCCGAGCCAAGTCCATGGAAAATCGGTGCTGATTTCCGTCGACCATATATCAACATGAACACAATCGGGGAAATATACGAGGCATACATTCCCAAAATTGCCATTGATAAAACTGCGTTAAAGGCCGTTGAGCTGCCAAGGTAGATAAATCCAAGCAACATTTGGAGAAGGCCAACCGCAAGGACCATATGCACCGGAACTTTCAATGTGGGACTCACTTCTGCAAAGAATTCCGACGCTGGTAAACCATTGTCACGTGCGAATGCCCAGGCTGTACGGCTAGTAGATGTCACACATGCAGCATTGGCGGCCGTCGCGGTCAAGGTGATGCATAGGGCTAATACGGTAGCACCCGCTGGGGAGCCAGTGATGTTTAAAAATAACTGAATGGAGGGAAACCCCGTCTTGGACTGAAGCAGGGATTTTAGGTCTCCCAAAGAGAACAGTAGAACAATCGCATATACCAGGCCAATCACTCCGTTGATCATGACGCTGCCTATCATGGCCAATGGTACATTACGGGACGGCTTTGGCATTTCTTCGCTTAGATGGCACGCTGCATCATATCTAAAATTAATAGTTAGCTTCCGACCTCCTGCAAGCTTATAGGAAAATCGTACCCGAGGAAAGGATATATTGTGCTCAGCAGTCCTACTAACCAGGAAACCCCATCGTTGTCCCATCCACTGGTGTTGGAGAATTCGGTGAAGACGTAACTTGCGGGGTGCTTCTCGGACATTGCTCCCAAAACGGTGACTATCACAACGAAGCCAACGACGTGCAATACACCTGTTTGCCTTTTAGGGTGTGATTCGACTTTTTTTCCCTTAGGGGTTGAGAGATCTCTTACCAGCTGTTGTATTGGTATGAGGCAACACCTTGGAACCCCAGATATTGATGGCAGTTGAGTAGGCTAAAATTAACCAATAGAAAAGCATCCCTCGCCATCTAGTTGGGGTATATGAGTTGAGATTGTTCAAGGTGATGAGGGCCTGCAGCTGCAAACCCGCCGCGAACGCCGCGGAAGCGGAAAACACCAACTGTCCACCAATGGAAATCCAACCGGTAAACCAGGATGCAGTGGCCTGGTACGATGCCGGTGTGAGACAGTGGACCCAGTGGTATTGTCCTTTAGCTTCTGTTAGCAATGGGCCTAGGGTAGGTACATGGAACAGTTGATAGTACCGCCAGCAGTAGGGTATATAGAGGCAATTTCGCTTAACGAAAGGACAATGAACATTGTACCAATCAAGGTGATAATACTGTATTGGCGACATAATCAGCCTTCCGATATCAGAGGATTGTTGAGGAAAACTCACTAGTTATAAAACAAGCATGGCGCGCCACCATTGGTAAGAGCTGTGGCGACAACTGTGGATAAAGCTTCCCAGGTAGCCATCAAAGAGATCTGGAGACAGACGATTGACCAGAGGGAGAAGTCGCGACGGAGTTCTTGGACATGGCCAAGCGCCACAAGTTGGTCTTCATCGCTGATCGGTTTCTCTGTAGCCATTTTAGTTTCATGGTTAATGGAATCCATATTCCACACTCCTCGGAGTATAGTATAAGTTCAGGTAAAACAGGGGGTCCTTCCGATATCTATATGTAAATTGACAGGATAAAGTCCATACTCGTACACGGCCATGATCCGCACCCATCAACCACATATTTACGGGGAAAACATTGTATTCCTTATCTTCTAAAACCCCGAAATCAAATCCTCCCCCCCTCATTTTCTCAGATATCTATTCGTTATCTTCGTCGATCATCTATCGTCACGGAATCATTTCCGTATCCACTGTTGCCTGGAACCTCATTCCGAGTTTTCCGATGTTCCGAGAATGTACCTAATATAAGTTCGCAGAGGCCGTCACTGGGAAAATAACAACAACAACCAAAGCTATAACTTTGTTCATTGCTGTCATGACTCAGCCGCACCCACTGAGTATCCTCTCCATCGAAGAGACCAATCTGGCCCGTGATGTGGTCAAAGCCGTTCATCCAAACGTCGTGATTGACTTTCGGGAGATCTTCCTACAAGAACCACCTAAAGCTCAGCTCCAAGAATATCTAGCGTTCGAACATGCCGGTCGCTTGAGCCCGACCACCCCACGACCCCCACGTCTTGCTCTGTGTCAATATGATGTGATCGGAGCGGACCGAATTCCTCAGTTTCACGAATCGGTGATCGATGTGGTTTCACAATCGCGAGTGAAGCACACGGTTGTGGGGGAGGAACATCATGCCAGTTTGACATTGTATGACTTAGAGTTTGAATATTCGGAAAATTGTTCTAACGATTTAACTAGGAGTGAATTTGATGCTCTCGTTGATCAATGTATGAAATCACCACTATTCCAACAAGCATTGTCCGAATTCGACCTTCCTGAAGGCTTTGAGGTCGTCATTGAGCCATGGCCGTACGGTGGCTTGGATCACACCGATGAAAATCGTCGTTTTTTCCAGGGGCTTTGTTTCGCTCAGGACAAACGTTCTGGGAATGAAGACTCCAACTTCTATTCTTTCCCTTTGCCCATCATCCCCGTTATGGACGCCCATACCCAAGAGATCATCCGGGTAGACCGACCCGCCACGGGCGGGAAAAGTGATGGTCTAGTTGAACAGACCTTTAAGCGGGATATCATCGGCCATTGCAAACCCTCTGAATACGTACCAGAACTGTTACCCGAGGGTACCCGTCAGGATCTTAAACCACTGAATGTTGTCCAACCTGAGGGTCCTTCCTTCCGAGTCACCAACGAGTCTCTAGTCGAATGGCAGAAGTGGCGGTTCCGTGTTGCTTTCAACCCGCGAGAGGGCGCAACCATCCACGATGTCTTTTATGATGGCCGCAGTGTGATGCACCGACTAGCAGTCAGCGAAATGGTAAATCCTAAACCCTAGATATATACCTCACAAACTAATTCCTTTCAGACTGTCCCTTACGCCGATCCTCGCCCCCCTTACCACCGGAAACAGGCCTTTGACTTTGGCGACGGTGGCGGCGGAAATATGGCTAACAACCTCTCGCTCGGCTGTGACTGTCTCGGGGTCATTAAATACTTTGATGCCGTCATTACCCAGCCAGACGGCACGGCCCAGACCCTTCCTAATGCGATTTGTCTCCATGAACAGGACAATGGGATTGGATGGAAGCATTCCAACTGGCGTACCGGGCGCGCTGTCGTCACACGGAACCGGGAGCTTGTTGTCCAGTTTATCATCACACTGGCCAACTATGAATACATCTTCGCATATAAATTCGATCAGTCAGGTGGAATTACGGTTGAATCCCGCGCAACAGGTATTTTAAACGTGGTCAATATCGATGCTGGGAAGGTCAGTGAGTACGGAAACGTGGTGAGCGGCGGTGTTCTCGCTCAGAACCATCAACACATTTTCAATATACGAATTGATCCAGCTATCGATGGCCCTAACAACTCTGTGGTCGTGGAGGAATCCCACCCAATCCCAATGAATGCGGTTACCAACCCGAACGGGAACTTCTATGAAGTCACCAAGCAGACCGTCGAGCGTGCATCTTGGATTGATGCCGCCCCGCAGCTCAATCGGACCATCAAGATGATCAATCCTCACATAAAGAATCCCATTAGTGGAAACCCTGTGGGATATAAGTTCATTCCACTAGCCACTCAGACTCTACTGGCCGACCCTGCATCGGTACAAGCGCGCCGGGCACAATTTGCTCAACACCACGTTTGGGTCACGAAGTATCGCGACGGGGAGCTCTATGCTGGAGGTCGTTATACTTTGCAGAGCCAAATTGAAGTTGAAGGTGTCTCAGATGCTGTTCTCCGGGGTGACTCTGTGGTTGACACCGACGTGGTGGTTTGGAACTCTTTCGGCATTACCCACAATCCTCGTGTAGAAGATTGGCCCGTGATGTATGTCGCATTTTCCCTTTCGTCTCCTTCTAGCATACTAACTATAATAGGCCCGTCGAAATTTTCCAGCTCATGATCCGGCCCGCTGACTTTTTTGGAGCCAACCCGTCGCTCGATGTACCTTCGAACAAGAATGCATCGTCACGACTAGCTGACTCGGAATGCTGCCGGAAGTCACATATCTGATTGAAACGAGCATAAACAAAGAATAAGCATTGTATCATAGGAATTTCACATTAGCAAATATTATACATAGGCTATTTTACACATTTTAAATTATCTACAATACTAAGAGCGGACATGTATAAAATCAGTCAGAAAATACTTCAAAAGGTCAGAAACGTATATATATATGGTTTTGATTTGCCTCACACGATTCCACCAAAAAAAAAAAAAAAAAAACAAAAAAAGACAGCGCATGATACTAGATCGATCAGTCCTTATAGACGGAAATGTCCCTTGTATTACAAAAACCCCAATTAATGCCCGCATATCCCAAGTCGGAACGGGACACATCTCGGATTATCTTTCCGCGTTCCGAGGTTTCTTCCTTTCTACCTTTCCCTGTTGCTATGACACCTTCCATCAATATTACTTCGTTTATACAATGGTTTCCGAATCTCCGAGGTCTTCAAGAGAGGATGATTTGTTCCAGCGGAGAAAAAGGGCTAAATACACCCCAGTTGCTTGGTGCGTCTTTAGTGCTTAGTACTCTTACAGCTTGGTGCTGACCACCACAGCAATGAATGCAAACGACGTAAACTAAAATGCAGTGGTGGTTTGGTCTGCGTGAGATGTTCTCGTGATCAAGTTCCTTGTGTATACGCCACCAATCGCCCTTCTGCATCGACCCAAGAGACTGATCCCAAGGATGAAAGGTGGGTCTCCGAGGTCTTTTATGGTTGTCATGGTGTATCCACTGATTTCATTTTTAGAGCAAATACTCGATTTCAAGCAGTGGACAGGCAATTGGAAACTCTGCGGCGGGAAATACGGACCCTTTCCGCCCGTATTCATGAGCTCGAATCCCCCCGTCCTTCGGCTCTCCCCACCACAGGTAGCTTACACCGTATTCTGGACGCCCCCAGGTCCCCGACGTATGTCGGGCCGACGAGTGCGGAGTTTGGCCTCACTCAAGCCCGAAGGTCCTTATCCCACCAAGCTGGCGACTGTCCCATAATTGATGACTGCGCTGAAGACCTTAACCTATCAACTGCTCCTAGTCCTGCGCCGTCGGAAAGGGGTGAAAATGGTCCACTCAGGCATCCTCTGAGAAGCCTGGGTGCAGATGAAACTTTGCGATTAGTCCAAGTTTATGAGGACACGGTTGGGGTGATGTACCCCTGTGTCGACTTAGACGGAGTGCGAGCATATGTCCTTGAGTTCTATCGCTCTCATGATTCTTCATCTGCATTGACGCAGACAGCCTCGGATCAGGATTGGTTCTCTGCCCGCGATGTCCAGGTGCTGAAGATTCTGTTGGCGACCGCTCTACTAGTCGAATCGCACGGTCGCAGTGAACGCGCCGCCCAACTAGCTGACAGTGTGGAGGACCGATTCGCCAGCCGAATGAAAATTGCCGAGGTCGACATGAAAGAAATACTCATTTTGACTCTGTTGGTGTGTACCTCCCACAACCAGTACAGAAAAAAAAAAAAAAAAAAAAGCTAACCACGATAGTCGATATTTCACTCTTACCGTGATGATGAAGTCATCGCTGGGCGTTTAATTGGCATGGCGGTTCGAGGGAGTACAGAGCTAGGTCTCCATCGTCAAGAGACATGGCAAAAGACAGGAGGTGTTTTCCCGGGCGAGTTGGAATGGACATGGGCAAGTCGATTGTTCTGGTGCATTTATGTGTTAGATCGCAAGTGTGCCTTTGGCACAGGTTTGCCCTTTGCCATTCAAGATTCCGATATTGATACCAACTTGCCCGAGCCGGGATACTCTACCCCGTACCTGACTTGCCTGATCTCTCATGCACGGCTAAGCACAAAGATCTGGGGCCTGGTTGTTGGATGGCCCAACCGGTCACAAGCGGCCACCTCAGATGGTTGCGCTTATCTAGACGCTCAGGTTCAGGAATGGATCCATTCTATTCCGCCTGAATTACGTTTTGATCCATCTTGGCGTTCACCCGCTGGATCAGAGCACACTGATCGAGCTATAATGCTTCAGGTATTTCTTGCTCTACAGGCAAACCAGCTTCGAATTCTCGTGTATCGACAAAACCTGCTGAGTGATGAGCGCATAGCGGACAACGTGACTGGTGCCTCGACCGCCGTGGAAACGGCCAAGAGCACCGTTCATATGCTGGACTATTTCAGCCGGGTTTCAAGTATATATTTTCAGCGACCGGAGCCATTCAACTATTTTCTCTTATCTGCCCTTGCTGCCCTCTTCTTGGCCGTTTTACATGCCCCGGCGCGTTTCAGCCATGTTTGCCGGCCGGAATTTTATACGGCCGTGGACATGGTCCGCCGCTCGGCCACGCGTGCACGTACTTCTCGAAGATTGCAAAAGATCCTTAACAGTTTAAAACGGATTCGATTGAACCTCAAGGAGAGCGAAACTGGCCAATCATTACATGCCGAGAAAGAGACTTTTGATTCGCTTCCATCCCGCGGAATTTGGGATACAACGCCGGTATCAACAGAGTCTGCTGCGTGTTGTACTCCCCTCCATCAATCTCATCCCCCATCCAACGCTCTCTGGCCAATGTCACCTGGTACAGTTGCTGGACCCGAATCCAACGTTTGTGAAGATTTGAGCAGCTTTTTTGAGATTGCAGGTGGATTCTACTTTGACCCCCAGTCCGTTTCGGACCTTGCCGCCGGAGCAGATGTGGGGTTAGCCCCTCAAGGTGATACACGGTCACCCAATGCGCTAGACGCATTTCATGCCGAAGATGAAGCCTTGACGCGAGTTATGGCTGGTTTGCTGTGAACATTCTGTTATGCGTAATAACCCATTACCCCGGAGACTTCTCGGTTAAAATTGTCCCTCGAAATTCCGTATTTCCACTTTTATCCGGACGAAAAAAAAAAAAAAAAACAAAACAAAACTCTTGTTTCGACGGGATATTAGGACTTGTTGGTGTTTATAGCTGGTATTTCCCACCAGTCCATGTTCTAATTCTTCTAACTAATTTCCCGAAGGATTTTCTCTGTTTCAGCCTTTTAGCTCTATATGTTGTATCAGACCATCGAATATCTACACAGAAGATGCCCGATGGAGTAAAATGTCCGGATTTCCACCAATAATTCCTGCATCTCCTCGCCAAATAATGTATATCAATAACCCCGGGAGCCTGCTGACCAAGATCTATCTCTTCGTTAAACATTCCCTCGATGCATTTTAATATCGTCAAACCGTTGCTGTTCGCAGTCCTCGTGCACGGATATGCAAATCCTGGCAGTTGTTCAGGAGCCTGCAACGTGCATGACCCGGCATTGATACAGAGATCATCGGACAATCGTTATTTCCGATTTTCTACTGGCAACAAGATTTCTTATGCGAGTGCCTCATCTATCAACGGCCCGTGGACTACCATTGGGTCCATGTTGCCTAGTGGATCTTCTATTGATCTCGCCGGAAATGCAGACCTGTGGGTAAGCATGATCTTAGTGCAAGGTTTGTCGTAATGGACATACTGACCTCCATGTTAGGCACCCGATGCGCAGGTTGTGGACGGTGTTTACCACGTTTATTACTCTGTATCGACGTTTGGCTCACAGAATTCGGCCCTTGGACTGGCCACATCTGCAACCATGGAGTCGGGCTCCTGGACTGACCATGGGGCAACTGGTATTGCCTCGTCATCTGGCAAGGCGTACAATGCAATTGATGGCAACCTGTTCGATGATGATGGTACTTACTATATGAATTTCGGCTCCTTTTGGCACGATATCTACCAGGCTCCAATGACCTCGGATGCCACTAAAGTCGCATCTTCGTCCTACAATCTGGCGTATGACTCGTCTGGAACACATGCTGTGGAGGGGAGTTATATGTATAAGTATGGAAGCTATTACTATCTCTTTTACTCCGCCGGCATCTGTTGTGGCTACGATGCATCTCGCCCTGCCAGCGGGGCAGAGTACAAAATCAAGGTCTGCCGATCGAACTCGCCAACTGGCGGATTTGTATGTTACCCACTGTTCTTTTCTGCTTTGGACACTTCACCCTAACTCTTTATCAAAGGTTGACGCCACGGGGACTGCTTGTACAAGCGGGGGTGGCACAGTCGTTCTAGAAAGCCATGGCACAGTCTACGGTCCTGGTGGACAGTGAGTTCTCGAACAAACCCAAAGGATTGAATATTGGCTTAACGCTTTTCTAGGGGTGTATTTACAGATCCTACCCTCGGCCCGGTGCTTTACTACCACTATGTTGACACCACTGTGGGATATGCCGATGGACAGAAACTGTTTGGGTGGAATAAGATTGATTTCTCAAGCGGATGGCCAGTGGTTTAAATTGAGGTCAGTTGGCGCCTAGTCGGTGCCTTCTTTAGGCCGGGTACTATCTGTCTAGGGGAAATGGCTTCTCCTTCTCTTCGCTCTTTCTCCCCCGACTCTCTATTAGCTTGCAATACCAGGGATTGATTGCTTCTTTTCGATTCCTTTCTGGCAAATTGCATTTGCTTGGTTTAGGTGATATATCCATGTCAAGCGAATGCCATTCTATCGCTAGACCATAGCGAAAGCTGGGTATTTCCTTTAGCCTCAAGGTATTATTTTTTAATTTACGGAGTACATGCCTATATGTGCAATCTCATGTTGTCCGGGAACCCGTCGGCCGAAGGGAATGCAACTGGCGAAGAAGTATTGCGGCGACGTTGTGGGGGTTCCTAGCTCTTAGACGAACCATGTGATCCTCGGAGTTGATTCCGACCCAAAGAAGCTTGGGACCATCAACGAGGACGGGTCTCCTCGAGTTGATTCGGCGACTGTTTGCCAACGACGGCGATGGAAAAGCAGCTGAAAAGTACGCGAAACTGCAAGCCGACGAGGTCAAGATCCGTGCCATGCTAAGATCCGTGCCATGCTGAAATTAATGTTTATGACCTAGGGTGCTATATTATTTTGTGACAAAAGATGCGTCATGTCAATATCTTATAATCCAATTGCATCATCTTCATTTCTGAAGGCGTCGCATAAATACTTTCTTCGGAGTGTCAACATTTATATAGTAGATGAGCATTAGTTCATCTTAGGTTTCTAAGTTTGGGATCGCTCGTTCTAAAATTGAACCTATATAGTATGAAGATAGCCCCACGCATCTCGGCGAATTCCGCACTCGGCCGAATGGTGGCCCTGGCGTTGATCTACAAAATGCGTCCGTTTTTCCTCTCATCAAGCCTATTCTTGACATTGTATAAATTTTATTGCCTATGGCAAAGTCATCTAGACTACCCGCTAAGGGCCCGGAGAAGTATAATGTAGGACGGAGACGTAATGTGCCGAATTTTAGTCCATAGTATGGTCTTCCCTCTCCAAAATCTACCGGTTTGTGCTAATAGAAACATGCAGATGGTTTGCCGTGACAATGGGCACTGGTATTGTTTCGGTGCTGATGACATTGATCCCTTTCGATGCTCCGGTGCTCCATTACTCATCGATTATCTTTTTCCTACTCGATACGGTGTTATTCACTCTAGCTTCCATTACTTCTATTCTCCGATACGCCTTATACTCCGAAATATGGAATGTGATGATACAAGACCCAACCAATTCGCTATTCTTGGCCACAATCCCGATGGGCTCTGCTACGCTCATTGAGATGTGGGTGTTCATTTGTGTGCCAAACTGGGGCGAATGGGCCAAAAAAGTTGTGTGGGATTTATGGATGATAGACATGGTAGCTGCAGCTTCTGTGACTCTGTCCCTGTCGTTTATTTTTGTCGGTTTACAATCTTACACAAGGTGAATTTTTAGGATACTGACATCGGATCAGAATATCTCAGCGCTATATTACCTCCCTAGATCGCATCACTGCGCTTCAATTATTGCTGATCGCAGCAACCATTGTGGCGGCAGGTACTGGGCGCAGAGGTTACTATTATCTTACCAGACAAACAACATGCGCTGGGAACACTTCTTGTATCGTTTGTTCTTTGGGGTATGGGAACTCCGTTGGCCATTGCGGTATTGGTGATCTATTATCAGCGACTAGCAATGCATAAGCTTCCGAGGGAACTCATTGTGAGCTGCTTTCTACCCTTGGGCCCTCTTGGCTTTGGTGGTTTCGGGAAAGGATTTTACCGATTTCCCCTAGGGACCTGAGACTATGGCTAACCCGCTGCCAGCATCCTTTTCATTGGTATTGTTGCAGGATTCCCAATTCCTGGACCCTATCGCGGGTCAGATGTCATATGTCCTGGGTGTCTTCATATCCCTCATCATGTGGAGCTTCGGCCTGATTTGGCTCGTATTTGCCCTAGCCACAGTTCTATACAGCTCTCCATTTCCTTTCAATATGGACTGGCGGGGATTTACATTCCCGCTTGGGGTGTATGCCGCAGACACTATTGAATTGGGCGTTGAAATGGACATCTTCAAAGTCCTCGGTACTGTATGTCCGCTTTCCCTTCTCGAAATGAATGACTACTTACCTTACATCCCAAGACCTTAAGTGGCTTTGTTTTCCTATTGTGGATATTGGTTGCATCATGAACTGCACACAGAGCATGGCGTGAAACCCTGTTTTATGCTCCGTGCTTACAAAATCTGGCATTGAAGGAGGAGGGGGCTGAGCGAGGTGGAGATCAGCATCAGCCGTAAGAAAGGATAAAGGTCTTGGAAGAGAAACTCTACCAATACTATGCGTATGCCCAGGTGTGATACGTCGGGCCGGATAACCCCGCTGACAGCATCTTCTATCACGGCCAAGCCACGAAGTTCAGTACAGTCTAGGCAATTTTTGCCGAACTCGATATTTCGTATGTGATTGGTTCTGGGGTAATTATCATACTATGTATTTGTTCACGCTAAGCACTGCCTATCAGACGAGTAGTCACATGTTCAGCCCGTCAGCTTCAGTGTTCGATTTCATCCCATTCTCTCCCTTCAACTTACAATCCTTTGTGAAGCTGAAGGACATTTCATTGACTCTATACCTCATTCACGGTAGCAGTTAAATCAGAATGGTAAGCCTTGGGTTATATCTATAAGGCAAGGCTCTAAACAAAGCCTAGGAATATGAGTTTCCCTTCCTGCAGGAGGTATTCTCTCCTCTTGAATCACACAAGGTCGAGTATGAACACTAAGCCCTAAGCCTAAATCCTTTCTAAGAGCTATTTAGTCTTGTCTTCGTTCATGGCCTGAACCCAAGCGGTCGAAATGATCACCCTTTCCAGACATGGACACACAGCAATGGCAACTTTTGGCCAAGAGACTTCCTGGCAGAGGATATTCCGTATGCGCGCGTCTTTGTCTATGGATACAATTCAAATATCACCCATCCACAGACCATGTCCACCGCAAGCATCAAGGACCACGCGAATACCCTGTTGAATTTATTGGATATGGAACGTGGCCCCCAGACGGTAAATCATACCCAGAAACGTTCGTTGAGCGATGGATTAACATTTCACAGGGCTCCGTTCTACCGAAAGTGATATTTATCGGACATAGCTTGGGGGGATTAGTGATCAAGCAGGTCAGTTTCCCATACCCTTTTTTTCTAGGGCTGTATTTACTGGTACAGGCACTTCTCAATGCCAAAGAAGATCCCAAATATACTTCTATTCGTTCGGCAACTTCTGGTCTCGTCTTCTTCGGGACACCTCATCGTGGCGCGAAGGCTGTTGAGCTAGGGAAAATTGCAGCCCGCGTTGCCCGCTTTGTCTCCAAAGGCCATGCCAGCAATGGCCTTCTAGACTGCCTGGAACACAATTCGCTTTTTACTCGGCAAATGACCGATCGATTTCGACACCAGCTAGAGGATTACCGTGTTGTTAGCTTTATTGAAGGGAAGGAGGTCCAGATAGTGGGAGTTGGACCAGCATCTATCAGTCACGTAAGCAGACCCTTTATTAGCTAGGGCTTAGGCTAACATTAAAAAGCTTGTGGTTGACGAAGAGTCTGCTGTTCTTGGATTATCTGGTTTACGGGAAACTCAACTCAAGCTCGACGCAGATCACTCCCAGATGTGCAAGGTGGGCGTTCGGGGTCCTATGTACCGTTTGATAAAAGGAAATATCAAACAATTGATCGACCAGGCGCTTTTGTCGGAGCAAGGCTTTATTCCACAAATGCCTCCAAGTACAGCATCATCTTCACCGCCCGTGCCCCCACGCATTCATTCCAATAGCAGCACGGCATACCAGGTGCAGGGTCGCCCATACCCGGCGGAAAGGGTGACAGGAGTGGTTTTCAATGCTCTAGATAACGACCCACGATCTATTCGCTCCGCAGAACTCAAGAATCGGGCTCGATGGGACGAAGCTCGAACTGTCGAATATGCGATTTTCCAGGAGCATTTGGGCAGCCTTGGTCCGGATCATTTTAGTACACTATCAGTGGCATACAACCTAGCCGAAGTGGAACTGGAGACTAGCTACTTGGACAAGGCAAATGAATGGTGTCAGTGGGTGTTCAAAAACGCCCAACGCGTCTTTGGGACAAAGCATCCCTTGACAATGAAAACGGAAAGTTTGACCGCAGAGGTCCTGTGTCAACAGGGCAAGTATCAAGAGGCTGAGTCGGTCTGCGCCAACGTGTTAGCCCGTCAGCAAATGTCTATCGGTGAAGACCATTTGGATACCTGTGACACTCGGCGTCGACTAGGAATTACCTACAATGCGCTCGGCCGCCGGCAAAATGCCGTGATGACTGCAGAAAAGCTAACAGACACCCTGAAGCATCTGCTTGGAGAAACCCATATTCGTGTCTTCGGCTCTGTGCTGGACGCTCTGGAATATATTATTAGTAACCAATCCGGGGACGCAAGTACCCTAATTGTTATGCGTTTTCAACCCGATGTCCAACGAGCGGTGGAGATGTTGTTACAGGTCTACCAAGAGCTTCGGGCTGCATTGGGCCATGCACACCCATCTACTATTCGCGCTCTCTGTCTTCACGGCCAAGCACAAAGCTTTATACAGCAAAGCATGGAGGCCTCGGAGACCCTGCGACGGGCTTTGGCCAGTGCAGAAGAAGCGTTTGGACCCGATCATCCGCTAACAATGGACATCGTGGGTAACATTGGCGTCATGTATGCTCTGCAAAATGGCTATGTTCAAGGTTTACTCACCAACAGTCGTGCCGTGGAAGCTTTCCCCTGGTTGATACGATATCTGAACTGGGTTGAACATCGCAAGGGCAAAGACAACCCCGAAACCCAAACCACATTGGAGCTTCTGGGCAATTTACACTTCAACGCTAAGGAGTACGAACCCGCCCAGAAGTACTATGAGCGCCTCGTGGCGAATTCGACCAGGACCGACTCCAAAGTGACTGAGCGCATCAGCAGTCAACTTCAACTTTGTAGGGCGAATACCATGTACACCCGTCGGGGCCTAGGGTCGGGAATAGGGGGGTTTTTGTCTAACTTGCAGCGATATTGACGGTGCTTTTCTTAAGATATTCTTCCATTTCCAATGAATATTAGTTATTCATTGTGGTATATTTAGGTACATTATCCGAAGGATATTTTCTGTCAGGTCATGTGCTTAGTGTGAGAACTTGTCGGGGACACTCTTTCTGTATAATGCAATTAGCGACATCGTTCCATCAAAGTCCGAAAATCATACCCAGCCTTGTCCAACTGCTCACTGCCAGTGTCGGTGACCTTCTTCGCAGGATCACTCTTGCCACCGCCGATCTTATCCTCCGCGGCGTGAATACCTGATGTTGTTTAACTTGGAAGTCCAATGCGCGAGATTATAGACACTGCATCTTACCCTTGTCAATGTATTCTTGGCCCTTGTTGCCTCCGAGCTTGTTAGCGAGACCGGAAATTTTGTCCATTGTGGAAGATTGGTGATAGTGATATAGAAATTAGAGAGTAGAGAGTAGAGCGGTTGCTATAGAAATATAGAGAGTAGAAGGTGGTTATAAAGGAGGTAGGAGTAAACCCGGATGAACTGCCCTTTTATAGAGACTCATCGACCTCGGGAGTCTTCGCGATCGAAAATCTATTACAATGTACTCCACATTTTGTATGATGCTTCAGCATTCCTGGAATGATGATTCGCTGTAACATAGACTGCTATCGTCATTACCGCAGTTGCACCATTCTAAATGTGGGTTTGTCCCAGCAGGTCTCTTCTCGAATGCATCTTCATTGCTCAACGATAGACTCATAGATGAGGTCATATTGATGTTCTCTGTCTGCTATGGTGGATCTAGTCTATAGTCTAACGGTGAGATATTGTATGTTGTGACGTCAGCGAGTAGTATAGGATTATTATTGCCTCAGGCATTAATTGACACCTTCAGAATGAGGCATAAACCACGAAGATATGAAGGCACTAATATATCATCGACCTCTTGCACTCACACGGCGCTTCTTCGACTCTCAGTCATATCATATGAACATTCTTGTTCGACGCTGTACAGCATGCTTTATCGTACTTCTTGTACGTCTGTGACATGACGGATAAGCTTGCGCACAAATGCTGCATGAATGGCATTACAACGTATCTGCCATGATTAGCTGTTTTATCATAATGACCATGGATATAATGAATATTCGGCTATGCACAACACTTGGGATGAGCTATCCCCGGGCGCCGAATTGCCTCCCCGCGTTTTAAGTCCTTTTTAAAGCAAACTCCTTTGTTTTACAAAAGTCAATAGAACAACAAATGTCACACTTCGGTCAATTTTTCCAAGTCACTACTGGCAACGCTCCGCTTTAATCCTTTCACTATTTCCTTACCCCTGTGATTTCTAGCCAATTGTCGGAGGTGCACCGGTGCGCCGAATTAGTCCAGTGCAACGTGCGTTATTCCAATTTCTTGATAACCTATGGTCTCTTCTAAACTATGGAGGGTGTGGTGTTCCTAATCTTGAATATAAACCTAGTTTTACAACGAAAGAAAGAAGCAATAGAAAATCCAGCAGAGGAATGAGTTAAATCCAATCACAAGGGCTTTACTTTCGAACAGAATGCTCTGTACCATACTTCTGCTTCGAAAGGTTGACTGGCATATTTTACCTTTCCTTCCTTATTCTCATATATCTGCTAAAATTCCTCGACAGAAGGTAGGTGGCACTATTTGCAGGAGCTATTTGTGATCTTGAACCCTAGTATATCCTTTTCACAATTTACACAAGCTCGTCTTGGTACACCTGAAGGCACCGATTGTAATCTCGCCGCAAGTATATTGTTTGCTGATTATCCACTGATACAAGTCCCATCCAATCTACAAATAATTCTGTGGATGTCACTTTATATATCAACATGCACTAGTTTCTCTCTTTCTATTTATAACTGATGAGACTACTACCGGAGAGAAAACAGAGGAAGAAGGCTTGATATTCAACCTATGGTAAAGCAGGGTGTATATACCCTGGATCTTGCAAGCAAGCGCTCAGTATGCAAGCGAACGACTGGAGATGGTATTATCCCAACAATAACTAGTGTTGTCTCTGCGTCAGTCTAGGATAATGCTGAATTTCCATCATCTTTATGGTAAGCGAAAGGTTCAGCGAAAGGCATGAAAGAGTTATTCTCAACATCTAAGGACTAAGGCTGACTAGAAAACATAACTCGATATCATCCAGATCGTTGCCCTTTCACGTCAAGACGGAATCGATCGACATGAGCAAGACCCTATGAGACCTAGTGCGCTAGGGCACATGTGCATTCAACGCATTCTAGGGACTGTTCTCAGCAATGGCTACACATTGGTTACTAACAAATTCCGTGATCTACACACCAGGAAGCGCGACCGCCTCAATCATGTTCCTAGCGGCATTGGTAACCATAGTGATTCGCATCGTGCATGTTCACATGAACAAAAGGCTGGACGAGGTTGTGGTCTCAGGATTTACCCATGGTCATCTAATTTAAACGCTGTAGAAACTCGGGCTGTTGGGTTCCGGTATATTCTATGATGAGGAGATCAGTAGATCCTTACCAGGCAAATTTACAGTTTTATACCTCTAAGTACGGACATCCGGAAGATATACGATGAATTGCTTGTTTCAATTAAGTAGATATAAATACATACATGAAAGGTTTACAGTCAAAAAAGTCCATTTTGATGCATTTCGATGTACTCCGAAGTGCGGGGTTGGTCTTCGATCATAACAACCGTCTCACATTCGCCATCGTTCGCCATCACAGTCCAATCAACTAGACCTTGAAATTCTTTTTTTCTTTTTCTTTTTTTCCTTTAGACTCCGAAATCACCGCACTTCATCTCTATGTTTGATTATCATCTCGAAAAATGGTAAGATCTATTACGTCCCATGTGCTTGGAATGCCGCTGATCTTGCAAGTCGGGTTCTTCTTTCACTTCGATTCCTGTTCTGGATTTCTCTCAGGCACTATCCCCATCTAAATCCACCTTTCTCGCAAACCTTCGCGAAGCCCTTGTGAATGTTGGCTTTTTTTATCTCCGAAATGCTCCTATTTCGGCTCAAAGCCAAGAGCAGTTTGTAGAAAAGGCCCTAGGTCTTTTTGAGCTACCACTAGAGAAAAAGCTTGAGATCGAAATGGTCAATAGTCCGCACTTTTTGGGCTACTCAAGGCTTGGTGCAGAAATTACGGCTTTAAAGCCGGATTATCGTGAACAATTTGATGTAAGCTCTGGCGCTATTGTTTTTGACAAATCTACTAACACCGTTGTCAGTTCGCAACCGAGCTCCCTGCACCTGGTCCAAACGAGCCTTTGTATAGGAATGTGGTTGGTCCTAACCAGGTAAGATCTTATATTTTTGTCTCCGTTTCTGTGAATACTTATGAAGAAATTTCCTGCCAGTGGCCAGATGAAACAGCAATCCCCGGATTTCGTCAATCATTCGACAAATATCTGTCGGAAGTGAGCAGCCTAGCAGAGTTGTTCCCAGGGTTGATTGCGGAGGCATTAGATCTCCCGCCAACTACATTCGATCAGGTGTTTGACAACCCGCAGCAACATAAACTGAAGTTGATCAAATACCCCCCACCACTTGGAGCTAGCAATGAGGGGTCCGGATTTCAAGGTGTTGGTCCTCATAAAGATTCCGGATTTCTTACATTCCTCTTGCAGGGTACTCCTCACCATGGCCTCGAGGTCCAAAATAAAAACGGAACATGGATTCCTGCTCCCCCACTTCCGGGGACATTGGTCATTAACATTGGCCGGTCCTTAGAGGCGCTGACTGGAGGGATCTGCACGGCAACCACTCACCGTGTAAGCTTGCGGCCGGAAAGCTTCCACGGTGGCTGTTCAGGACCTAGATTTTCCTTCCCTGTGTTCCAGGGAGTGAGTCTCGATCTTTCTGCCGATAAGATTTCTTTGAAGATACCAGTTCATATTCGTGACCTTGAGTTTGAACTTGAGAGCGAGAAGAGTTCTCGACGCACATTCCAGGTGGAAAACGTCGAAGCTAAAGCAGAAGTTAGGAGGTTAAACGATATAAATGTGGGTGTTTTTCTAAACTTTAAGCCACCGAATTGAAGCTTACTTTTCCTAGAATAGATATCCCTTCATAGTTGTGCTAGTTGATGGTGATGGCGCCAAGTTCCTAGACACTTTGCTACAGAGTCCAGAAGACGGCGCTGTTGAAGCCTCCAGGAGGCTTACAAAAGCAGTAAGAGATTTTTTGCGGGGCAGTCCATATAGCAGCGAGGACGTGCCCATTCCTTGTCCGAATCTATGCAAATTTGAATGATCTGGCGAGGGCATTGCATAAAAACAAAAGAATACCGCTCGAAATGGATTTGCATCGCTTTGCAGAACAATTCACCAACAGTCGTGCTGAATTTGAGTTTATCAATGTTGGTCCGGGCAAAGAGAACGCGGATTCTAAAATGAACAGTAAAACTTTATTACCTATTTTTGTGCTCTACTCATAATCCAGCAGGGTTGCTGAATCATTTCCATCGAAATTTCCAGTGCAAAAAAGTGTTTTTTGCTGTTTGTCATGATAAAGGCTACATTCACCAGCTCCGTGATTTTATCGGAGATAGTGAAGGTGAAAAGCGGATTATTACTTTCCTTGCAAGTTTTCGTTGCATATATCTGAGAGTGACCTCAAGGTAGTGTAAGTAGCTGCTCAACTGTTCTGCTGTTGAGGGCAATGTACTGATATATCATGGAGAACGATGGATCGAAGGCGAAAGTGGACCAAAATTTTTGGAGACGTGAAAGGCATGTCATTTGCTCAAGTATTTTTTATTGAAGGTTGGTGTATTCAACATCCACCACGCCTTTTGCCTTTGTTCAGTTTTGTTTGAAGTATCTCATCAACTAAAGGTACAATTCCATCCCGGGAAAGTGCTCAACGGTAGTAGTTATTCTTTAGAAAATTCACTCATTATGTGCTTAAGTGTATCTACGAGGTCACAGTAGCCTGATTGATCATTCGTAGATTACAAGGGAGAACAGAAGTAGGTACTTTAACCCCCCCCCCCCCCCCCCCTCCCGGGGCGGGGGAAATAAACCTGACATCTCGCTGCGTTGCCCTGAGAGTATCGTCCCTTAGTAAAGAGTGCCGCCGGCATTCAATCAATACGCGGGCTATTCTAGACCTCCACCTCTCAATCCTCTCACGGAATACAGCTATTGGTAATACAATATTCATCTTAAGATACGTAGGCTAGAACTGATCTTGAACACCCTGATCTCTTGGATCTCAACCGATCAGTGCTACCGAGGCTAAATAGAACACTCAATTTAATGCCTGGTCAATGTGGTAGGACAATCAATTTTCTTAGGTGAATCTCAATTATATGCCTTGGTATCCGACTTTGGGGCTGCTTAATGGAAGTGATCCTACGTTCTCAAATGGTCCCGGTAATATTTTTGAAAGTGCCGGGTCAACTCATCTATCGATTTAGCATTTTAGTTAACATATGTGTTTTTTTTATATAACAAATCAAGTCCTTGGTCTAATCATGCAAGTTATAGAATTTCCTCTATATAAGAGACCCCGTCTTAGATCAGGTCGCCTTCTACTCTTTTCCGGGCATCTTCCAAGACTAGATAAAGTGTTTTTTAATCACACTGTGTAATATCCACTATTTTACAACAGTTACATCATTAAATTTCGTCAGAGATCGATGGCAAATAGAAACTAATTTAGTCGCGGATAATGCAAGAAATAACTAAATTCTGAGCCGGGTCAGCTCCGAAAGTTGGATCTCTAAGGTTGAGTATAAGTCGGGAAAAATAAAATATTCCACCAAGTACTTTGTTTATATATTCCTCTTTTATTATATTTTCGATCCCTTCAAACGAATTTGAACGATTTTACCTAAACGCTGATTACCAAATTAAAGGACTGCTGAGACAACATTCACCCCTCCAACCCCTCTAACTGCAAATATCACTCATAGCAACCTGAAGGTACCAGTTGTCATTATGGGACCTATCAAGCACAAAGCTCTCATCAACGTTGATCTGGGAGAGGGGTTTAGAAATTAGACAATCACTTCAGATAAAGACTTGCCTCTATTCATTAACCATGCCAGTGTTGCCTATGGATTTCATGCCTCGTATGTCTTCCCCCTTTTCTCTGTCTAAGTCACAGAGGTGCCACGGTCAATTGGTCGCTGTCAATATTACCCAGATTTACAACAAAGCAATGATGGCATTTAGCTCACACACCTCTCTTCCGGTAGTGATCCCCTCATTATGATGGAAACCGTTCGCAGCTGCAAGAAACACGGCATCAAGATTAGAGCATACCCCGGCCTAATATCGTTTCTTTCGACGTCTATTGCTCAACTACGTATTACAATATGTTTCTCGTAGACATCTTCGACACAATTAGTGTGATTCCGGGATTCTAGACTTCTGGCTATATACCCAAGGACCTCTTACGATATTAGTATCAGACACACTAAATGAAACCTCGTAAGTGTATATTACTCTCTGCCAACGTGTCCTAGTTGTCGATTTCATGTTGTTTAGTTAGAGGGTTCCGATATTACCATTCTGATACCCGTACAATATAGATTCTGATACGTATTCTCCTACCTAGCGATAGGGAGAATAGATAAAGCCACATTTCTTACAAATTGTCAATAAACCTGAAGGTGTAAAATGTGCCATGAAAAGTCGCGAGACAGGCGCCAATTTAGAGATCCCAGATAACAGAGGGAATTTCTCCATCCAGCTTCTTTTCTGCAAGAAGGGTTCCGGGAGCCCCGGAACGCTTGTCCCACTGAGCCACGGCAACACTTTGGCTGCTTTCCAATGCCACCGCAACCATAGTCTGGGTACCTGCGATGCTGAAGTGGCGAGGGGAGGAGCCATAGGCTGGGTACAATCCGAGGAAAGAAACCTTCTCAGTCTCTTTTCCACTGGCGTCAGCGCACATGTATACGGCGAAGGAGTCTTCATTTGGGCCGAATGTGTTGTCGAGACGGTTGGAGACCATGATATGATTGTTTTCAGGCTATGAGACAAGGTGATGTTAGCTGAGGAATCGCATTGAAGGACATGTTAGGGGGCAACGCCCGAGACTTACCGAGATTGCAATCTCAGCGGCCTTGGAGCCAGCAGGAGAATATCCATCACCATAGGTACTTCCCTCGTAGATTTTGCGGAAGGAAATTCCGTTGCCTGAATATGTGACCCGGAACCCACTCAACTCGTTGCTCAGCTCCTGCACAAGGTAGAAGTAGACATCTGATGATGTGCTGTTCGATCCGCGGGGGGTCCAAAACACGCCATGCCTGGGTCCAGATCCTGGGTTCACGGCCAGTGGCTCGATCGGTCCAAGAAGACCAGTCAACGAGTTGACCTGGAAGACGCGGACAACATCGGCTCCAAGGTCGGGTACAAGGACAAAGCGTCCGGTAGGGTCGACAACTACTCCATGGGGATGGGGGGCATCTTGGCGAGAAGCGACCGGACCAGGAGCGGTCATCTGGTATGTGAAGGTTTGTTCATGCTTGAAAAGTCCCAGGACAGGGTCCACTGAATACGTCGAGACAGAAGATCCGGAGCTATAATACCAGAGCGGAGTCAGCAGCTCGTACCATATTACGAGATATTTTTCCAGGGATTCAATCAAAGCTTACTAGTGTGCCACAGCAAAGAACTTGCGATTCGGCATCTCGGGTGCAGAGTACATGGCTGACATGACAGGGCCGGCGGGAGTCTTCAGTTGCGCAAGCTTGGTCAGTGTCCCATCTGGATGAGTTCTCAGGGCGGTTATAGTGCCATTGGAAGCACCAATTGCTTCGTCGAGGCAATACAAGACACTATTGGGACTATCCAGCATCAGCCAGGATGGGCTGCTGCCGCACTCTGTTGTCTGGGAGAGGGTAGATAGCTCATTGGACTCGGAAAAGTCCAACGAGGTAACAAGACCGGCGTACGATGCCGCATAAAGCTTCGTAGCAAGGGCAGCGTGCCCAAAAAGGGATGCTGAAAAAAATATAGAAAACGTCTTCATTGGGTCTCTTCCTTCTGCTCTGGTAATTGGATGGAAAGGTTGGGGAATAAAGACATGAGTGAGGTAGTTGACAGTTTTTCTATGCCTGACGGTCTGTCTTCAGGGATATGTCGAAATGGATGAATTCCCCACTGTTTCACTAGGTTCCACTAATTTTAGATGTATATTTCCCCCATGATTCCTATTGTTCAAAATTGTGTACACTTGATAGGGTATGGTTTCGTTCTCTTATCACTCCCAAGGTTGGCACACCAGGTTAAACGTTAAACGAGTTGCCACTCTTGGCGCCAATGCTGTTTTGAGTTTCTGACGATATTTCCATTATCGGCATGCCGAAAATGAACCCGATTGAATACGATGCCGATTAGTAACATATCGAGGCCCAGATCGAGGCCCAGACTGGAGAATACCTTCAAATTATGAAGCAGTCATGGTCCAGACTTTCATGTTTAGTCTTTTTACGGATGTTCTTCATCATCATCAATTATATGATTACATGGCATACACAAAGTTGCCTTCGCCGTTTTGGTCAACAAGGTTCTCAAAAACGAGATTTGGAGTTTCCTGACGCTTTCAAGTCTGCACTTCATACACTGAAATCAATGACCTTGCGCATTCCATATACTATCACGCCCAGTTCCAATTCAGGCATCGGATTCGAGATTTACATACAAGTCCAATATAGATCGATCCCTCGCGTAGTACTCCGTACCTAACCAGGCATACTATGAGTTGGTATAGCCCTGGAGTGATCTACTGCTGACCTTACCTGTCAGCAAGGTCCGCTTCCTCGTATCCTAAATTAGCTATACAAAGTACAGAAGGATTCAATTTCAACGGAATAGCCTGATGAAGGCCCCACCTCTCTGGCATGTAATCTCAGCTTTTAGCACAGGTACGCCCACGTAGTTGGTTATTCCTCCCAGATAGGACACCGGTGCATGAAAGTTAGTATGAAGATAGTTTGACCGGTCCCAGGAACCGACTCGCCAAGATGCGCAGAACTTTATTTCCTGCAGATCAGCCGGTAGATTCCATTCCATGAAACTGACGATTGATATCGCACCCCTATTACACGTGTTGTAACCGGGATCGTAGAGTCCTGTGTGGGTATTGTTCAAAGATTCGAGGGTCGGTATCAGTATAGTATCGAGGTAGAACACGCAATTATTATGAACATATATATTTGATGCTTCCGATCGTTATTTCATGTACACCAACCTACTGCTTTCCTTTCGTTTCTGTGTACATTGCCCTCCGGGCTATTTTTCCTCATCATGAAGTCCGCTATCATCACCTCCATTCTCTTCTCTGTGGCTGCCGTCCAGGCCTATAGCCCGGCCGAGCAGATCGACGTCCAGTCTCACCTGCTTTCCGACCCCACCAAGGTCGAGGGAAAGACTTACGACTATGTCATTGCTGGTGGTGGTTTGACTGGTTTGACCGTGGCTGCCAAGCTGTCCGAAAACCCGAAGATCAAAGTACTTGTGATTGAGAAGGGATTCTACGAATCCAACGATGGACCGATCATCGAGGATCCCAACGCCTATGGGGAGATCTTTGGAACTAGTGTGGATCAGAATTATCACACAGTTCCCCTCATCAACAACCGAACTGGAGAAATCAAGTCTGGCCTCGGTCTTGGTGGCTCGACCTTGATCAACGGCGATTCCTGGACGCGCCCCGACAAGGTCCAGATTGACTCATGGGAAAAGGTCTTCGGCATGGAGGGCTGGAACTGGGACAATGTCTTCCAGTACATGCAGAAAGCTGAGCGCTCGCGGCCCCCGACTGCCGCCCAGATTGAAGCTGGTCACTTCTATGACCCTGCCTGCCATGGAACAGACGGAACCGTTCATGCCGGCCCTCGCGACAACGGCAAGCCTTGGTCCCCACTGATGCGAGCCCTCATGAACACCGTCTCCGCTTTCGGTGTCCCTGTCCAGAAGGACTTCCACTGCGGTCATCCCCGTGGTGTCTCGATGATCCCGAACAACCTCCATGAGAACCAGATCCGGGCTGATGCTGCTCGCGAATGGCTTCTTCCCAACTACCAGCGCGATAACCTGCAGATCCTGACTGGCCAGAAGGTCGGAAAAGTTCTGTTCAACCAGACTGTATCTGGCCCTAAGGCTGTTGGTGTGAACTTTGGTACCAACAAGGCTGTTAACTTCAATGTCTACGCTGAGCAGGAAGTTCTGTTGGCCGCCGGATCTGCAATTTCCCCTTTGATCCTTGAATACTCCGGTATTGGTATCAAGTCCGTCCTCGACAAGGCCGGTGTTGAGCAGCTCCTCGAACTCCCTGTTGGTCTCAACATGCAAGACCAGACCACTACCACTGTTCGATCCCGCGCCAACAACGCACCTGGACAAGGCCAGGCCGCTTACTTTGCCAACTTCACCGAGGTTCTCGGCGACCACGCCGCCTATGGTATTGAGTTGCTGGACACCAAGCTTGACCAGTGGGCCGAGGAGACCGTTGCGCGCGGTGGTTTCCACAATGTGACTGCCCTCAAGATCCAGTATGAGAACTACCGCAACTGGCTCATTGATGAGGATGTTGCATTTGCCGAGCTCTTCTTCGACACCGAGGGCAAGATCAACTTCGATATCTGGAACCTTATCCCCTTCACTCGCGGTTCCGTCCACATTCTCAGCAGCGACCCTTACCTCTGGCAATACGCTAATGACCCCAAGTTCTTCATGAACAAGCTGGATCTTCTCGGCCAGGCCGCTGCCACCAAGCTGGGTCGTGAGCTCTCTAGCGCCGGTGAGATGAAGAAGTACTACGCTGGCGAGACTATTCCCGGTGACAACCTTCCTCAGGATGCCACCGTTGAGCAGTGGGAGGACTACGTGATGATGAACTTCCGTCCTAACTGGCACGCTGTCAGCACCTGCTCCATGATGTCCCGCGAGCTTGGCGGTGTCGTCGATGCTACTGCCAAGGTCTACGGTACTCAGCGCCTCCGTGTCATTGATGGATCCATCCCTCCCACTCAGGTGTCCTCTCACGTCATGACCGTTTTCTACGGTATGGCCTTGCGTATCGCCGAATCCGTCCTTGAGGACTATGCCAAGAAAGCTTAGTTGGATTACTTTGCGTGGATGGTCATTTTGGCCAAAGACAAATTTGGCCGATCATCCCGACAGTGGGAAATTCCTTCCCCCTTTTGGATTTGCGAGGGGACTCCGCACTCAATAATGTCCTGACTTTAATTGGAAGTTATATATTCCTGCCCCCGTTCCTTGTTATTCTCTTTGTTATTCTTTTTCTCGTGTATACAGGTTTATGCTAGACTTATAGATTTAAGATTTTTTAGATAGAAAATATAAAAAAATCTCAGGGGCAGCAAACGAAATTTCTAAGTAGGGTAGTGTTGCACAAGCGGTAAATAAATAGTGTCATTTCATATTTTAGAAAGCTGCCAGTAAGTTAGCCCCAGTGGACTCGGTCGTAGAATATACACTAGCTAACTAGCGCGCCAGTTCCTCGACTGTGGTATGTCGGTAGCCAATCAGCAGCTTATTTACTTACTCTATTGCGGCACGTGGGAAGCTATTAATAGAAGTAATCTTATATATTAGAAGAGATAAATTAAGAATAGACTTAGTATAGTTCGGATCGATAATATCGCGGACTATAAGCTATCCCGATCTTATAAGAATAATTAAGAGTACGACCTCTAGGAGTACTAGTCGAAAATCGCGTATAAGTAGATTAAAGGGTTACTTAATTAAGAAATAATTATAATCTTAGAAAGAGGAGTAGACTCCTTTCCCTATTATATAAATAATATAATATATAAAGTAGAAGTACTTATTAGAGGCGCTAAAATCACTAATAATATTCGACGCGAAGTTATTAAGTTTTATAAGATAAAGAGAACCGACTTTAGTAGTATAGATAGCTTTATTACTATATATTAAACTTAGTATAACTAGCTTAATTTATATAAAGTAGAACTATATCTATTTAGAGTACTTTTTATTATACTTTATAAGCTCGAGGGAGAACTCGACTTAATTAAATTTATTTACTAGGGAATAAGAGACTTAATTCCTTATAAAGTTGTTATAATATAATCAGACATAAGGCTATTCCTAGATTAGTGCCTTAGGCCTATAGGAGGTTTGCCCTCTCCGGAGGGGGATCGCCTATATTTCCCTATCCTTTTAAGAAGGGTTCCCCGCGGGAACGAGACCCTACTCTACGTATTATATTTCCTCCCGCTATTAATATAAGGAGACTATATATAAATTAGACTATATAGAGGAAGTCTAATAGCTCTTTAAGAAATAGTCTTTAACTTCTAGGAACTACCTATCTTATTACCTTCTCCTACCTAATTAATAAGTACCTATCCTAACTTATAGAGTATCTTTTAATAATTCTATTTCTTCTTTTTTAATTATCTAAGAGAATAGTATTAAGAACTCGCTTTACTCTCGCTATAGAGGAGATACCGAACCCTCCCTAAACTACTAGGGAAATACCTTTTATTAAAGCTATTTCCTAGACTAATCTAGTCGAACTAATTACCGATCTTAATATAAATCTTATAGCGACTTAAGTTACTATAGAGAAGCTATAGAGACTTAAGGACCTTTAGGATTAGATTAAGACTTTTAGAGCTTAGCTTATAGGCCGAACCCTAAATAAACCCCCGATAAGCCTCTTTCGAGATATCTATAATACCTCTAGTAGAGACTAAGAAATTAAACTTAAGAGTATACCTATATTTACCCTTAATTATACCCTATAATAATACTAAGAATAGCTCTTAGACCTATAATAATAATTTAAAAGAGCGCTAAAGCGCTACTATAATAATCGGACCTAGATTCTTAGAGTACTTAATAATATAGATATAACCTATAGGTAAAAATAATATAGATATATTAATAAAAAGATACTAGTTCTACTATAAAACCCTAAGGAAGACTAGCTTTATTTTAAGAACTAGATCTTAACCTTTATTAAGAATATAGCTACTT